AGAAGGTGCTGACCCCCAATCCCTGTACAGAAGGTGGCTGGACCAGACGGGCACTTGAATCTTACTTGAGCACTGATGATGGGACCACATCCTGCAATGCACCTGAGGGCAGCAAGCTCACTTGGGGGCCAAGGGCAAACTGAGTGGTACGCTCAGCTCTGGCTGGCAGCACTTCCTCACCATTCCTCACCCCTGAGCCTCCGTGGCCTGACACAAGTGTGTAACGCTGTGTAACAGTGTGGCTGGTCTTGCCCAAGCTGTGCAAAGCACTAGCAACTTAGTCTAACTCTAATGGACTGAGTATGACTACCATCACGCCTACAGGTAGACCTTAGGGTAATATCCATGACAGATGGGAGATCACCTGTGTTCAATGACAAAAAGTCTAAATGCTAAGATGTGTATCACCCAACCAGCAAACGTCCTCAGGGCAGTTTCATCTCCTGCGAATAAAAGTGTATGGTGGTTTGGCTGTTAATCTTGTACATACACACTGCAATGCCGTGTAGAGTAAGGTGCACACAAGGCCACTGAAGGCAGGGAGCAGAAGTGTTGCTAAGCCTGCGTTAGCTTGTAAGCACATTTTGGCTCTTGCTATAAACTATTATGGGGGCCTCTGTTGTAAGTAGGCATGCTAAATGCACAGATCCCTTTATTTAAAATACAGTAACAATATTTAACCAAAGTTAGTGTCATTGCTAGTACCACTATTGCTTTGACCAAGTCTGAAAACAAGTAAATAATCACAACAAGTTGTTAGTAAGATATATTGAAGTTTTGCAATTTAATCTTGAATGCGTCAAAGTTTAGCCTGCAACTGAAATTTCTTCCCCAGCTCCCTCACTGAAACAGCTTCCCTGGAGAGATGCTGCGGTAGTGCTTCTCTGAAAGCCTTGAAAATTCTCATCCCTAACATTGTATGAGGATTGGTTGAGACTACTTAGAAATGAGTAAAAGCAGTCTGTGCACACTGAAGGGCTTTCTCTTGCATTGACTTACATGCATTCCTGAATTAAGAGCCAGTGGTACTGAATGCCTGCCTGCATAGCTAGACCTCAAGCTAGCATGTCCAGTCACCTTTGCTAATCCGGAAAGGCATGGATCTGCATCTGGATGGGTGGCCACATGTGGAAGCAAAGCAGGGAGCTGGACTCAATGGCCCTATAGGCCCCATCCCATCCCATCTTGGCATAAAATTAAGCCTTGGAAAAACCTGAGTTTACTGTAACAGCCAGGGAACCCAAGTGCCCTATTTTACAGGTGCCAATCCTCTACTTTGGAGAGAGGCCAGTAGACTGTCCTTCGTTTGAAGGTGTCCTCTATTTGAAGAGGCTTCCAGTCCAACTGTGCTTAAGTCTCAAGTGGGATAGAGGGGAGAGAATGAGAGAGAGAGAGAGCAGGGGACTTGAAATTGTGTATCAACAGTTCACACCTGGATAGCAGACTGAGCAAGCACAGAGGGCACTTGGTCACAGTTTTGCCCACTATGATGAAATGTCTTGCATGTGCATTTGAATGATCATTGCTGTCTGTAAATTTCAGCTGATACATTGCCATATGCTAGTGGTATGCATATTGGTATCCTCTGGCATTCTTTCCTGGTGATGCTTTCCCTCTTTTTCTGCAAGGTGTAAGCAGCCACCCTAGTGGCCGCTGAGGAAAAACATTGTTCAGTACCAAGGGCACTGTTTGCTGTGAGATCACTCTGCCTAAGCAGCGCTGCCTCACATCTCTCTCAGCAACTGTAAAGGCTGTATCATGAGAAGCAGTCTTCATGTCCTCTAGCCCAGAATGGGGATTTTCCATTGCCTTGCAAACAATGTTATACATATGAAAAATTAAAGCAGGTCGCAATTTCTGCTTCCTCCTTTTAATACATTCCTGTGGTAGCCCATAGAGAGGAAAAGGGGTCTTGGTCTTCTTCTGCATAGGCAGGATTATCTATAACAACTGCTCCAGAAGAGAGCTGGGCCAGTTTTCTCCTCTGCTAATCAATACACTGAGAACAACAGTCAGCTTCTGCTGCAAATACTCTTTACAGCAAAACAGAAAGCAAGGATCGGGGCTGGGGCAGGGAGCAATATCCAAACAAAATCACAAATCAAAGCCTGCATCTCTCTGCTTGTCAGGCTCCAAAATGCTAACCTTCTGACAAATGAAGCAAGCCATCAGATATGAAAGGTTCTCAGATCACTGGAGCAGTAAAACAGAAATATGCAAGTCAGTGGCGAGCACAACAGCTACATTGCAGTAGATCTCCTCACAAATCTATCTAGCTCTTTGCTGATTTTCAGTCAGGTTATTTCTCCCTGGGGAAAGACAGCAACCCAGCAGCAGAGGCCTCTCTGCTTCTGTAACCAAAAGACCACCCACATTTTGCATTGTTAGGTGCCTCACACAGCCAGGTACAAAGGTACTGCATGTTATGGGCTGTGCCAGATGAGAACCCTGCACACGCTCAGACACCCATGGGATTCACTGTGCTGCAGTCAGCTCCATTGCCTTCCAGCAGAAAAAGCGTTGTCTGTAGAGAAATGCATAGGCCTACTTATTCCATTGCAGTGAATGGGGAGGCTACTACTGCACTTTGCTGAAAGCCTTATGTGACAAAATGATGCTGGGACAGGTTTGCCACTGACAGCTCAGGACAGGAGGGTGCTGCCATATGCACACCATTTTTGTGCACGTCGGCCTGTACTCCGTTTCAGGGAGGTGTATTTAGTTTCTGGTACAAGGGTGCTTGTGCATATACCTTGTGTATGAAACCTATTGGTCTAAAATGGATTTAAATAAAGTGAATTTGCTCGGTGCCACTGGCTGTCTTGCAGTGTGTGCATGCGATAGTATATTAATTTCTGCATAAATGCACACAGTCGAAGAACAATTCTTGCAATTTGCCAACAAAATCTGGACATTCTTGTCTTCATGGAGCTATTCTCTCATCAGGCAACTGTGTATGCAGGTTGAGTATCAATTCCTTTGTTCTGCTGACTCGTCAGTGCTCATGGCGCTTCTGCCTGTCCCCCGTATGCGATTTCTTTCCATTTGTACAAGCCAGGCTGCTTGTTACAATGAGTCTGTGATAGGGGGAGAATGCAGGTCACACTCAATGTTACTCTATGTTAAGTTCCATTCAGTTCAATGGGCTGCAGCTAAGGAGGGCTAACAATGAACAGAACCCTATATTAAAAGAAATACAAAAGGGTAACAGTCACACAAATAATGTCTTCTGTAAATATTTCTCATCAGCAGGATTCAGAAATACTAAATGACTTCTAAAACTAAGGGATAATTTACACTGTAATCCCCCCCCCCCCCCCAAACACACAGTGGCAAACAAATAGACCCGTTTGGGGATTGTTAGTTTTTCAGTCTTCTTTGGATCATCTGCGTCTGCTACAGAAACCATATCCGATACAAATGCTTGCAAACAATAGACTGGATCCAGGGTTGACCTTCCACGAATGGAAAAGTCTTTCCATTTGTGGAAGATCCAGCAGAGCCTTGCCCTTGGGGAAAGGGGGTGGGTGGCAGCATTCAATTCCCTCTTCCTCCTGCAGCCCCCAAAACCACTTCACAAACTGTTCTGGAGGATCCCACAGTCCTCAGATCAGAGCTTCAGGAGCACTGGGAGATGCAGGGAATGAGCAAAAATCTCTGCTGAAGCAGCTTCTGCTCACAGGATCATTCAATTTGCAGAGTTCCACTCTTCACAATTCTGCCTGGATGCCATCCAACATTTATTAGTGACTGTAGAGTTAATCCAGTGAAATTATATTTCCTCTGTATTCTGTAGCAATGTAAAATGAGCCAATCAGAATGCTCACATTTTCCCTTTAAAAAGCAAAACATGGAACTCCAGAAGGAAAGCCACAAAGTCCAAGATTAGCAGCTTGATTAGCAAGCACGGCACAATGTGAGGTTTGCCAAAAGTGTCAAGTCTACACTCCAGTCAGCTGTAAGATGCTATTTCCCCACCCAAGCAGTTCAGCTCCATAATTGGCGATGGCTCTAGTTTGTCCTGTAGCCGACTGTTGGCCAAGCTTATTCATACATACATACATACCCATGTCCAGCAAACTGTAGGAAACATTTTCTTTTTACCATGTGACACACACACTACCCTAGATCTTGTCATATTTAAACAGAATGGCTTAGCTGGTTTTAAACAATGACTTCTTACTTAATACAATCCAACAGTTTAAACTGGTTGAAAGTCCAGTTTTTTCTGCTGTTGGTTCCAGTATTACACAGAAAACACTGGCTGTAGTAGTCATGTCTGATGGTTAGAGGTATTTTTATTGAAAGTTGACAGAGATACAGGATCTATGTGAATTTTCTGTAAGTTGTCTACATTCTCAGTGTTTCCATGAGGTTCCAAAGATCATTATTACATTTTATTTTTCCCTGGGATTTACCCCTGAAGGCGCCAGGATTCATCAGGAGAGGCTAGTATAAACTGTAGAGAATCAAAATGTCTTCTTTTTTAAAATATTTTTGCAAGCTATTTTGGGCTTCAGTTGATTAAATATGAAAACAGGTAACATGTACACAGGAAAGGGGTGTGTGTGTCAGGGACACAGAGCAGGGAGAGGAGAGGGAACGAAGTTGGAAGCAGTCTGGATGCAACTGATATGTTCCACAAAGGCCATGCTTTTCTCTTAGCAGTAAGCATTCCCAGCCCCAGCCCGCCCCTCCCCCAGCATTCCCTCCTGAGCTCTGAAATGGTATTTTGTAGTAGATCCCAACAAGGTTTGCAGAACCCCTTGCCCAGCAGAACCCTCCGCCCCATCCCCACAGTTCAGCACTCAGGCTAGTTCTGTAAACTCCGTCTTGGGATCATGTAAGAACCTGCATACTCTCCATTTTGTCTCCACTGCAGTTTACTGTCCCCTCTAGTTATTATTTAGCTGTGCCAAATCTCCATCTCACCATCAAATCCTATTTATCATGAAAATAAATACTTTGTGTACAAAATGTAAAAGTAAAACTCTCTGCTACAGAAGTTCACACTCCAGTCAGCCTAGGGGGAAGTGTGTGTATGTGTGTGGGGGGGGGGGAGTCCTGGTTGCTTCTTTTATTGGTTTGGGGTGACTTTTGCCATTAGGAGGGAGTGGTATGGGGGTTTTGCTTGGTTTCGTTTGTGTCCCTTCTATTAGAAATCCAATGGTGGCTTCTGGCATGGAGGAATTCAGGCAGTAACTGTGGCCCTGTCCTAGTAGTCAGTGAGCGGGTATCGTAGGAAGATGAAGACAAGGATGATGCAGAAGGTGGCCAGTGCTGAGCTGGTAATGTTAAAAAGACGGGCTGTCTTGGCGTCTTCAACAGCACCATTCAGGTCATTGAGGAGTTTTTTATCCCGAACCTGGAAACAACAAGAAACAACATTGGCAACATGTAAAAAGAGAAGCGGCTATGATGCCAGGTCAATTTTAAAGCCCCAAAACAAGAAAAAATTGCCTATAAGCCATTAGCTTTTGTGTAGCCCAAGTGTTTGGAGAACTGCAGCTAGAACTGGAGAACTGCAGCTTAAAAGCACCTAGCATTCCCATCTCTGGCTGGAATTCTGACTTTCTCTTTCAGCTTTAAAGGGTGAGAAAAGTGGTGCTGAACTCTTTTCAGCAGAGGAGACAGCACTGCGTATGTCATGATGGGAGCAGAAGAGTTGCGCCTGGGGATGAGCAGGACTGATAGGAGCAAACACTACTTGCCCTAGGGAAACTACTTCTGTATTCCACCTGCTGGTTATGCAGCTTGTTCATATCAGCTGTAGATAATTGCGGGACAGAGAATATGATGCAGGCATTAGACAATTAACATGGACCAGCTAGCCTCATATAAGGGAGGAAATCATCTATGCATAGTGCAGAAGCTCCCCACCCCCAACATCTGCCAGATGGACCTCCCTCTCTGGATCTAGAATAATTCACAGAAATGTGTTCTTCTCCACCAGCTAAAATCATAGAATAGTTGCAAGGGGCCATGAAGGCTATCAGTTCCCTGCTGTTGCAAGACACCATGTTACACCATCTCACTCAGATGGCTGTCCAGTTCCATCCTGAATGACTCTAGTGTGGGAGAGCCCACCACCTCTCCAGGCAGCTGGTTCTACTGTTGTGTTGCTCTGACAGTGAGGAAGCTTTTCCTGATGTCCAGCCTGAATCTGGGTTGTCACAACTTGAATGGATTACTCTGTGCCAGTCCTGCACTCTGGCATCAGCAAGAAGAGATCTTGACCTTCCTCTTTGTGACAGCCTTTGAGGTGCTTCTAGAGGGATACCATGTCCCCCCTCAGTCTTCTCTTCTCAAGGCTGAACATGCCCAGCTCTCTCAGTCTCTCCTCACAGGGCAGTGTTTCCAAACCCTGGATCATTTTTATTACCCTCCTCTGGACCCTTTCTAAAAGCTGAGTGAGTCAGTGTTGTAAAAAATCCCCTATTAGGTTCAGCACTCCTACACATCTGATATATGGTTTCAACCAGGCTAATTTCCAAAGTGCCTTCACACGTTATGGCAAGACAGCATATAGTTCAGAGTGAGAAGGCTACCATGTGACTCCAGGCACTGATCCTATTCTGATCAGGTACTGAAAACGCGATGGTGAAAGCAATTGCTAGCTTGGGGCATGTGTGTGCACGCGAGCCCCATCCTTGTCAGTGACATGGCCACAGAGGCTGCTTCACGGCCATTTCAAAGGCTGCTAGGGTGAAATCTGGCAAAGCATTCCGCTGCAGTAAAAAGCCACTCACGGCGCCTACAGAGTATTAATATTAATAAGGCTAGGCTAATGGAGGTCTTCTGCAGGTTGTGTAATTTAGCCTATAGCTGCCGCAGCTAGAAATCATCTTTCAGTTCCAGGAGGACAGACTGATACAAACATACTGCTACAAAATGAGCACCATCAAGACAGGGATAATCAAGGCACCATGCTCCGGAGTAGTTCTACTGATTGTCAGTGTAGTCTGGAAGAAGTGATTGAAAGACTGTGGCCCCTGCAGAGAGAGGCCACGGGTATATCATGCAGCAATAGTTTCAGGATGTGCATAAGCAGTAAGTATGGATCTAGCTTGACACAGCTGTAGCCATATTTGAGAATTCTGTGTGCTACAACAGTTTTACTATAATGGTCGCTCAGTGCTTTTGTGGACTAGAGGCCACATCAGCAGATGCAAAGAGTATTATCCTCAGTTGTATGCTGGTGGTCCCAATCTCCTCCCCTCCCCCCTGGGAACACCCTTTCCCCTCTTCTCTCAGGCTGCTTCCCCAGTCTTGGAAAAGTGGCTGGCATGGTCCTTTCGGGGTATCCAAAAACTCCGATGCCCCCCCTTGACATTGACTCGAGGGGGGGCACAGGATCACTCTGCACAGCTATCATGGACTGTACATTTAGCACTTCGTATTTGACTCTACTGCTAACATCCACCATCACATTCGCTCTACAGCCATGCATATAAGGCATAGTGGGATATAGTTTATGAAAGCTTAAATTGTTAGTATTCAAGTTTCTTCAAGATATTTATTATTTACTTAGAATATTTTTAATCCAATTGTCTCAGGATGGCTTACAATATAAACAAACAGTAAATACAAACAATCAACGACTATAATAACAAGATAAAATGTGACTGATGAGATTAATAAAACCAGATTAAAATTATTTAAGCTTTAAAATGTTGGGCAAAAAAAAGGTTTAAGAAGGTATTTTGTTGTTTTTCCCAAAACAGACTGACATAGCTATTCTTCTGAAAGAAGTCTGACAAATGTGAGCCCAGTTACTGGTCTACTAAGTTGCAAAAATGATGCATCACATGGCCTTTCAAGGTAATTGTGTTTCTTCATAAACAGACCCTACGCTTTGTATGTGTCTGGGCCTGCAGACTGGCTGGGTTACATCTTGCATATGCATTTAAGATGTTCACAAGATAATATGTTTAATATACACTGGATGGTGTTATGACTGATATGGAAGAAAATTCCAGCAGCAGCTTCCAATTAAAATGCTCACTTAAGGAAGAGAAATTCTGTATTATTCCATTACCAGTCTGTAAAGAAGACAACACCTATTGGGAATATATGGGCATAGGGATCCCTAACCTTTTTGGCATGGTGAACACAGAGCATTGTGGGTACTCTCACAAAACAGCTGTCCTGAGGAACTTGCCCTCTCACAGAATGGCTGCTGTGGTGGGTACCACCAGTCACAAAATGCCCATTTTCTAGATGGTAAGCTGTTGAGTTCAAAAGTAATGTCCCTGGGAATATTGTCCCCAGGAATCTAAGTACTGAATTCCCAAACACTAAGCCACTCAACTGAAGCTAAGTTTTCTATTCTGATACCCATTTTACAGAAAGTAAATGGGTAATATCCGGAGAAACACACACACCATAGGCAAAACAGATCTCTGCTCTCTACCACCTCCAACCCTCCATCCACCCCAGTGAACTTTTTTTCTTTTTTCTGGATTGCAACACATAAACAAAGCATTTGGCACGTTAAAAAGGGGCCTAGAGTCATTCTTGAAAATGAAGATGATGTGCGAGGCTGGCAGTTCACTTTCCAAAATGCCAGCTATCCAGTTTTTTGCTGTAAGAAAATCAGGAAGAGCAGGAAGTATGCATCACTGGAGGTGTCCATTGACACCATGCTGGGAATCCTGAGCATAAATGAAGCACACACCGTCAAGGCAAATGGTTGACTGTGATTTAATACATATGGGCAGGTGGACTCTATACATGAGCCCTGCAAAAGTTATTATTCACAAAGCTTTTTCACAACTTGAAGCACTCTTGGATGAAACTGATTATCTGGACCCATTTCAGTCCGGCTTCAGACCCGGGTACGGTACTGAATCTGCCTTGATCGCCCTGTACGATGACCTGTGCAGGGAGAAAGACAAGGGGAGTGCGTCCCTGTTGGTTCTCCTGGACCTCTCAGCGGCTTTCGATACCATCGACCATGGTATCCTTCTGGACAGGCTTGCGGGATTGGGGGTTGGAGGCACTGCTTTGCAGTGGTTCCGCTCCTACCTCGACGGCTGGTTCCAGAAGGTGGTGCTGGGGGACTATGGCTCTACGCCATGGCAGTTATGCCATGGAGTGCCGCAGGGGTCCATTTTGTCCCCATTGCTGTTCAACATTTACATGAAACCGCTGGGAGAGGTCATCAGGAGGTGTGGGCTGCGGAACCATCAGTACGCTGATGATACCCAGCTCTACCTCTCGTTTTCCACCAATCCAGGTGAGGCAGTGGCTGTACTGAACCGGTGCCTGGCCGAGGTAATGGGCTGGATGAGGGCCAATAAACTGAAGCTCAATCCAGACAAGACGGAGGTCCTGTTGGTTGGTGGTTCTGGCTTTGGAGAGGGTGAACTGAACCTTGTTCTGAATGGGGTTGCACTCCCTCTTAGGGACAAGGTTCGCAGCTTGGGAGTGCTCCTCGACCCGGAGCTTTCACTAGAAGCTCAGGTGACCGCAGCGGCGAGGAGCGCTTTCCTCCAGCTTCGGCTGATCCACCAGCTGCGCCCCTATCTGGAGTATGACTGCCTCGCGACAGTGACACATGCATTGGTGACTTCCCGCCTCGACTTCTGTAACGCGCTCTACGTGGGGCTACCCTTGAAGACGGTCCGGTTACTTCAACTGGTTCAAAACAGAGCTGCCAGGCTGCTGACGGGGACTGGGCGTTGTGTTCACATGACTCCAGTTCTCAGTCAGCTTCACTGGCTTCCCACTGAAGTCCGGGCCCAATTCAAGGTGTTGGTGATGACCTATAAAGCCCTAAACGGCTTGGGTCCTGGTTACCTGAAGGAGCGCTTGCATCCATATATGCCCAGCCGCCCCTTGAGATTGGTGGGGGAGGCCCTTCTCCGGGAACCCTCCATGAAAGAAATTAGGAGGGTGGGTACTCGGAGGAGGGCTTTCTCTGTGGTGGCGCCTAAGTTATGGAACGCGCTCCCCAGAGAGGTCCGCCTGGCGCCGTCATTATTTGTTTTTCGGCGCCAGGCGAAGACCTTTTTATTCAAGCAGCATTTTAACTGTTAACATTATTGGTTTTATCTGGCCAGGCGGCTTATTTTATACTGTACTGCTGTATTTTAATTTTATATTTATATTTTAATTTATATTATAATTATTTTAACTTAAATATGTGAGCCGCCCCGAGGCTTCGGCGAATGGGGCGGCATAAAAATGTTTTAATAAATAAAAATAAATAAAATAAAAAGCTGAATACAGCCCACCAACCGTGTATTTACTGAGTTTGGATGACACACTGCGGCCTGTTGTTGGTTATTTAAACAGACTGGACTACGTGAGGGTTTCATTTAACCTTTGCATAACCCGTGGCTGCGGAGTTTGTACACCATG